AAATAACAAAAAATGTATCTTGTGGCCAGCATAAACAACTCGCAGCTGGCAATTAGTAGCCGTGCGATGCGGGCAACGCCGGGTACCGGGGCACGACAGGGCATTAGACTCCATTGCCAATTGCCCAACGGGGTTATCCATTCGCAATTGGCCTGGTCGCAACTGTCCGGCGATCACTGTAACTAATTAGCGAGTGGTTTAGTCGAGGTTTATTGTATTGTTGTGTGGTTCTATCTATCGGTAAAAATTGATAAATTGCGCCTTGTCGTGTTAATTAAAGGGGCCACACATACCGACCGGCAGGTGGCGCTGCCAAATGCTCGCGCTGTTTTTGTCGCCCGCAAATCGCGCGCGAATTCAACATGAACTTTATCATTTTTTCTCTGATTTCTCAAAGTGTTGGCATTTGTGTCCATTGATCGGTCGACAGTGCAATATATGATTTGATTGATTAAAGCTAAATTGGTCGTATTTGTGGCTTGATTGCAGTTATTGTTATTGCTGCGAAGTGAATGGCTGATTAAGTGAAAGTGAAGCCCGATGCTAAATGGAAATGGAGTACAACTGATGATAAAGTGAAGCTAATGCTGTGGCATCTCAGGGTCATCTGTTGTTGATTGGAGTTGTTATGGAAAATATGCCATGAAGATGGGATGTACACATCCAAATATAATTTTAACAAATATAAATTTAGCAAGATATTAAATATGCAAATACAGATAAAGGAAATACATATACATATATATAAATATAAGTATAAAGAATATATTAAACAAACGTTTGGTTTTTGCTATCAGGGATACAAATTATATTTTTGAATTACAGTCTATTCAAATTACGTAATTGAAAATAAAGCTATATTTAACGGAATTTTTTTTGAATGATTTCGTGATATTATAAGAAAATGTATTTTATTATTTCATTTTAGTTTTTTTTTTTTTTTCATGCCACAAAATTACAAAATAGTTAAATCTGTTTCCTGGATGATGTTTTATTTTATTTCTTATTTTATTATTTATTTTATTATTTTATTGCTTATTGTTTTTAAATCTAGGCTGGAATCATTCAATCAAAAATTCCTTTTCAGTTACAATTGGAAACTGTAATTCGGTTGATAAAAGTAAAACTTAGAAAAAAGTTTAGCTGACAGCCACTTCACATGCTCTTAGCTAATATAGTGTCCAGAGAAGTTACAATTGATTGATTGCCCAGCGGTGAGCCAGGTGCCTGCCAACCAGCTAGTAAACATACGTCTAAGAAAAAAGTAGGTGTCAATTCGTCTCTGGCTGAGATCGTGTGCAGGTGTCACAAGTCGCAAGTCGTAGATCGCATAGGTAATATAAATCTTCCGATATCGAGAAACAACTGCGGCAAATGCCATTCAAATACCAATTACAATGTTTCGCATAGCTGCGAGTAAAAGATATATTTGATTGATTGCGCTTTTTTGTGTTAATCATGGATACGTGATGCTATCGAAATTGTGGGATAATTAACGCCATATTTGTTGTTGTTGCTGCTGCTGCTGATGTTGTTGTTGTTGTTGACAATTAGACGGCGCACAGACCAAAAATAAATTGCATGTGCGATAAAAATCGGCTAAGTTTTGCTTTCGAATGTGGCCAAAATGGTTTCGTGAGCGACTTTTATGGCATTTTTAATGCAAACTATTTGAATTTGAATCAAACACAACAACGACGACAAGATTTTGGCTGCCGTTGCACGTTGCAAGTTGCAAGTTGATTTGTCGCCTGCGCGTGTCAATCACAAACTTCGAGTTACAGTTGCTGTTTATTTATATATATGTATATATTTATTTTTCTCTTCTTTTTGCTAATAACACGATTTCCAAACGATAATTAGCCAGAGGATAACCACCAGAGTGAGCTGCCACTTAATCTAATGACAGTTCTCAGACACCTAGCCACGCCCCACAATTCCATCCACAGTCCACACGACTGTTGGTTGTAATTGCTTAAACGACTTCTGGTTTAGACTCCGATAGCTACCTGCAGATCGACTGCAGATACACTGCAGATACTCGTAGTTAAAGTTATGTAAAGTGCTTGCTGGTTAGCTGCTCAGCCAATCACTGACACACTTCCGATATAACCGTATAACCATATCGCGTATAAGGAGAAAAGCCAGTTGCCAGTCAGGCAGTGATCTAGTCAGCCAGGCAGCCAGCCTGCTCCACTTGGCCAAAGACAATGATAACTCATTGAGTCGGTACCCGTTATACTTATGGTCAGAGACCCATAAACTCAATTCAATTCCATTCAATTGACGCGGCAATAAGAAACTTTTTCCGGGCGCATCATCAAATCAAATCAAATCGAGTCAAATCAACTCGAAAGGAAAGTTTCGTCTTCATTTTTTTCTCTCTCTGCAACTTGTTGTGCATACAACGCCGAGGTGTTAGCTATTTTATGGCCAGACTCTCATAATATACTATATCAAACAGCTGGCAAACAGATGCTGCCATTGTTCAGCTCAAAAGGCGCCTGCAAAGGCCTTTGATGGCATAGAAACTGTAAGAGAAATGCCTAGATTGTAATACTCATATAAGTCTGTGTGTTCTTCCTTTATATTGCTTATTGATCTTTACACACATTTGAATAGGCTGCAACTTTAAGAGAAGTAAAGTTAACGCATATGTAAAGGCGGTTCATTGATTCCAAGAGTTTCCCTATTTCAATGTTCCGGAAATGCAAGTGCAATCGTACATGGCACATTCACGGGTTTCGTAATTGCCCAAAGGTTAACTGCACCTTAGGATCTAAGGGTCGTCGGATCTTCGGATCTACAATACAATTACAGCGAATCACTTTTCGTGTAATTAATTTAATTTGATTTCAACGGCAGTGTCTCGCTTTCAGCTTGGCAGTTCGACTCCATTGTCAGCGCGCAAAATGGGCAACAGGAGCATCGGGATTTGCGGGCTGACTGTCAGCGAATGTCACTTTAAATACGCCAAAACGGCGCAAAAGATTCAATTGGTGGGGCGCCGCCAGACGTTCAAGCAGCAGATCCTCGGCACAGATACAGATAGGCCAAAGCAGGCTGCATGGCTGGCTGGCTGGCTGGCTGGCTGGCTGGCTCTTTGACTGGTAGCTAGAGATACGATTACGCTCTCGGTCGTATCTCATATCTGCGCTTATGTATCGCAAAAGCGACTGTCAAATGGCTGAACTGACAGTTGGCTTTTGCAAAGATGTGGATGTGGCTGTGGCGCTGGCTCTGGCTCTGGCTCTGGTGGTGCTTGGTTTGGTCTGGTGGCTCTTGGATGGTGCTGCCAAGACGGGAAATTGGGTCAGGCATTGCAGGCAGTTGCTTCAAGTCGACGCGCAGTCGGCTCAAGTGCCGTAGCCGGACGAACTGACAGATCTCCAGGTCCCCCACTGCCCACTCCACCCCCCCGGCTAGCTCCTCGACTAAGACAAACTGGCGGCACGTCGCTACGTCGGTGTCTTCTGCTTTCTAAGCCAGCCCAAAAACAAAACAACAACAAATACTGTTTTACTTTTCGCAGCATATTTATGAACATGAACACTCGACTTGGATATTTATTTCACTGCCGCGATTCCCCAATTGATTTCAATTTTCAGTTGCGTTACCCGCTCGCCCGCTCGCTCGCCTGCTGACACGTGACATGGGATTTCACTTAAGACTGTTAATGCTCGCATAAGCAAACATAAAATGTGCCAAATGTTGGACATGACATGCAATTGGACGTACCGAGTAGCTCCAGACTTTGAGCCGACACTCAAAAGGACAGCAAAACAAATAAAATTTCAAAAATAAAATCCAAAACAACAACAACATTCAACATATGCTATTTTCATAAATAGAAAAAAATATGATTTTAAATCCGACGTGTAAATTGATTTCTAATTATTAAAAAAAAATAATACGATTTCTGCTACTTTTGCCGCGAAAGCTACAAATAATTTCAAGTGCTTGTGAGAGCTTTATCTTCTTCTTGTCGGTAGAGAAAACTTTCTTATTTGGGCTCTAAGCGTATTTTGAAAGCTTTTTTAAATAGATCGTTTGATCAGTCTATAATTATGTCAGAAAGTACATCTTTGTACTTCATATAGTTTTCTTGAACACATTTCTTAATTCTTTATATTTATTTATATTCTTTATATTTAACACTCCAAGCCATTTCTGAGATTTTTTATTAATTATTCATTAGCAGAAAGAACTAGAAATTTGAACTTTTACATAGCGTATCGCAAAGAATTGAGTATGCTGTAATAAAAGAACATTAGATCAAGTTCACGCCCTAGCAAACTCTTTCCTATATATTTTTGTGAATGGCAATAATTATGTCAACGTATATAGCACAGATATATTTAATGTGGTATTCAGTCATAAAACCACAACTGATTTAGTTCACGCCCTAGGCCATACACTCTTTTATGTTCGTCTTATTAGAACTTTCTGACCACCCAAACATGTTCGACTTTGCTTATGCAAATCAGAATCGTAATAATCATATTGTATTATCGAGAAATAAATTGCTTGACACTTGGTTATGGCGCGATTAAAAGCCAATCAAGTCTTTTATGGGCTGGTTTAATATTGCTCTTTTATGTCACTTTCTGGGCTCCGAACACACAATGATTAATTAACGGTGCTTAGTCAACGCCTCGCCCACAATGCGCCTAAAATTGTGTTTTTGTGAGCGGGGCGGCAGCTGAGTCGAACAAATGTGTTAGGGCATAACGGATAAACTTAGTTGGCAGATAAAAGAGGCGCCTCGGTATATAAAGATGAACGGAAATGGTCGACGATAATAATAACAAAAAGTCGTTTCGACAGTTACAAAATGATCTCTCGCAGCCTTTCTTCGGTTCATTCTCTTGCTTCGACGCGGTCATCAACTAGTCGTTAGGGTCGACACGCAGACAAAATGCTGAATCGCCACGCATCTAATGCGCCTCCACTCACACATTTGTATCTTTGTATCTTTACAACTCAAAGTACACACTCACCTGCATATAACGTGCTAAAGCTGCATTCCGCTGCGCATGTGATCTCAGCTGCGGCTGAGGTGAGCCCAACGGACTGACGATCGTCGATGTGGAGCCCCCGATGCCGGTGTCATAGCCCTGAGCATTGGCGCCATCAACATCTATATTAGTGGGGTAAAAAGAGTTACAGTTAGATGGATGTCTGTAATCGAGCCAAGAATCAACGATTTAACGGCTTCAAAAGTGTGCAAAAAATATTAAGTAAAGTGGTATATGTTATATGAAACGTAGAGATCAACGATCAAGACTGCGGATGCAATATTGCAGTACGAATAAATGTCGATTCATTTTATAAAACCGATAACAGATCAGTCTGATCTAGTTATATTTATGACTATAGCAAGTGCTCACTGGACACTTGACAGTATGCAAATCGAAATAAATAAGGCGTGTCAAAATAAATACCTATTCTAAAGGTACTCCTGCCTGATCAGAGGATTGATCGATCGCACGCTCTACAGTGGCCCCGTACGGCAGCAGCTTATAATACCTATTTATATATACATACATATGTATATTGTTATTATGTATGCCTATACCAGAAGTACATTTACATTTGTTATTCCCAGTCGCAACGTTTGTTGTTCAATTCATATGCCAACTGTGTGTGTTGTGTGTGCGGAGTGTGTGACTTGGCATGCAAAGTAGGCTTACATGGGGCCAGTCGGTTAACTTCTGAAAGTACTCGAGTACAGCGCGACATACCGTTGCTCCACTGCCCATGAAAAATTGAAAGTTATGCCCGTTTTCAGTTGATGCTCTGCCCCACTGTGCACACTGTGCCCAACTTGTCGCTGAATTTATTGGCTAGCTGCCCATTGGACACTCTCGTGTCCGTGTGAATTTATGAGCTGGCAGAGCTACGTCGTTGTCTTCACTTTATTTATGTTAATGGGAATTTAGTAGGTGTAGTGTACAGCGTGTGTCTGCGCTAACCGAAACCTAAGCAGCAAACTGGCTTCAGCTTATTAGCATAGCTAATTAAGTGATACAGTTCGAACGAGTTGTAGGGTTTTGAGTAGTCGACTGAATGAGTACTTGGCAATCAACTGAAGCATCGATACATGACAAGTACAAAATGAAACCCAGCTAAATAAAGATGTTGAGCCATAGCATGAATAGTTAAATATATTTTTAGCATACTGACTTTTTAGTCTTGTATAGAGATGCTGTAGATTCTTGACTTGCATAAAAATTATATGCTGGCATATTATTTTAGTCAAATCCCATTAAAAATGGAAGGATTGGGATTGTAATGTATGTAAAAGGTAGCGAGGTATACACATTATATTATATACATATCTCCCTTTGTCTGTTCATAATAATTGCATTAATCATGAAATTTACCTATATATATATATACAAATTTGTAACATTTTAATATTAGGAACTGAAAATATATTTAGTGAAAGATTAGGGAATTCAATCAAAATACATAAAATAACACAAAATTTATTAAATAAATAAATATTTCTTTTCGAATATTTTTGAAGAAGGTTAAGTGTAATAAAAAAGGTATGCTGTTACCATATATTATTTCATTTACTATATATGCCATAACATAAACCATAATTTATCTTATTCTTATCAGGCTAAAACCCATTAAAATTTATGTCTGACTATGTTAAATTCTGTGGAATTAATAATTGCTGCAATTTTCAAAGTGTTTACACCTAAATTTTTGTTTTCAAGTATTTGGTGTACAAATTGAAAGGATATCATAAAAAAATAAAACATATATACTCTTAAAAGGCGAATTCCGAGATAAGAGTGCAGCAACAGCATAAAAAAACACTCGACACAACACCTTGCAGTCAGAGCTGTCGAGGGTTCGGCTGTTGTTGCACATATTTGTCCGCCTTATATGGCATGTCCATAAGATACGACGAGACGGAGACAAAGAAAGAGACAGAGACAGACACTGGCTACTACTACTACCACTACTCACCTTTCAGCGAACTGTTCATGCACATGGGGCACTGATCGTTGCGGAACATACAGGAATAACAGCGTTCGTGTCCGCAGGTGTCGATCAGTTTCCGTCGCTTGCCCTTATCGAAGGAAATGCGGCACGAGGGGCAAACCGAGCCGCTGGCATCATGTTCCAAGAGCCGTCGAATCGATTGAAGATCTGCAAGGAAAATGAAAAAAAAAAAAAAAAAAAAAAATGAATAAAGAATGAATGTGTGGGTATGTGTGTGCTTACATATTCATTTGGTATTTACAGTTTGCCACATCACAAAAGTGATTATCATTAAAGTGGCATTTAGCACAAGGTATTATAGTCTAAGCTTAAACATTAGCTAAATTTTATGGTAAGTCTTGAGAGTCTTAATGGATTGGATGAGCCTAATAAAGTTGCTAATGGTAAAATTGTTGAGGAAATGCTGATTGAATTCTAAATGACTGATGAACATAAAAATGATAAAAGTATATATAGTTTTACAAGAAACTGCTACATGATATTTATAATTACCCTCATTCTTGCTTAAAAATAACTTGTCTTACTCTTTTAAACAAATTTTTTTACTAGGTCTATTCTTAAATTGCATTAAGTCGATAACTACAAATTTACATAATTACATTTTATATTACTATTTATAATGATAATATAAGAGTTAATTATTTAAATAAGAGTTAATTAATTAATATTTAATGGTAACATAAATTTATTAATTAACTCACAGCAAACTGTTTAATTGTGTTGATATTTTTTTATTATAAAATATATCGCCATATTAGATTTATAATAACTTTTCTATAATTCCGTTTTTATATATTTTTATTATTTATGTTTTTTTTTTTTTAATTTTATACACATTTTATATATTCCATTCGTCATTTATTTAAGTCTCAACATTCCTTTTGCAACCAATTGCTGGAAGATAGTCATTTACCTCATCGCATATGACCATTAGATCTTATCCAACAAATCGCCACAAATTCTATGCATACATTAAGCTCATTCAGCTTGATTTGCTTGCTTGAACTTTTTTCTTGTTTCTTGATTTGCTTGCCTCATGTCACAGCAATTTCCACGCTTCACAGTCGCAATTGCGGCTGCACTTGTTTGTTTATTATATTTACTTTATTTCTGTTTCATTTATCTTTTTTGTTGTTGTTATTTATTTGTATTTTTTGCAGCGGCTTGCATAAATTGTGACTGTCAATTAAATGTCGTTTGCGTTTGTCCCAGACTCCAACTGCCAATCTTTGACTGTGTGCGCAAGTCGTCTCACTGATATCTTGCATTTATCTCTGACATCAGTGGCTGCAACTACTCTGCCCCTGCCCCTGATGCTATGCTGCTCAAGCTGCTACCGATCATCGAGCTGCTTGCCGAATGCCAATCGAAGGAATTCTTTGTTCGGCTGCACTTTAATTGATTTAATTTGAAACGCTTGGTTTATTATTTCTATTAGCACTTTGTCTTTCTGTGTCAACATTATGTAAAAATGTGTGCAACAATTGGTTGCAAATGTTTACAGCTTGGTGGCACAGCGCTGACAGCAGCACTTGTCATCATCAAGAGATGTCGATTGTTACCAGAATTTAAATATTAAAAGCTTTTCGTGAAATATTTTATCCAAGGTTGCTTAACGATACGCAAGACTAACCAGTTTGTGACCTATGATTATATTGATAGAGTAAAAACTATTACGAGTTCTTTCTGCATATCTATCGTAATATATTCAAACACAAATATCTATTATTCATTCTATAGCAGAAACTCTACACTTATTGCTTAAACTGTGTTCAGTATTTAGCCTCCTCTCTAACCTCTCAAGTTATATTTGCAATCACTTTAGAAAAGCAACTTTGAAGAGCTCGTTGAGCATCGAGAATACATGATTAGCATGTTGCATATCTATAAGGATGTAATACATATATCCATATACAATATATTTCCATAGCAAGCTGCTGCTGCATTTTTTTCTTCTTTTTTTTGCTGGAACCCATAAAATATGGAAATTGAACGAGGCTTTTGTAACTCTTGAGCATTCAACGTCCTATTTTGAAGCCCAGTCAAATGCCAGGCTGCAATTCCTGTTTGGTTTTTTTTCTTTTTCTGTGGTGAATGGGAACTGCAAAGTCGACATCAACTTCGACGTCGACGACGCCAACGAGAACCACGTCCGGTCGTCGTAAAGTGGATTACAAGCGCAGCCGCTCGATCAGCGTCTGGGCTTCCATTCCATTCATGCCCACTTGACAAACACTCAATACGAAGTCTGCCAGCTATTTTTCCTTTTTGCTTGCTTTATTTATTGCAAATCAAAAGTCAAAGTATTTCTCTCTTTATATGTTTTACGTTTTTGTAAAGCATTGCTCTTGCCAAAAGATATTGTGATATTATTAGGCAATATGTAACGGAAAACTCTTTGGTAAATATATGGAAATCATTTTTGAATTGATATATAATTAAGATAAAGATAAAGATGTTGGCTTAGTTGAGCACTGAGTAACTCTGTGTAGCCATTACATTATACTATTGCTTATAGATGACTATATATAGAGCAATCAGCTACAATCAGATATTGGTAATAAAGCCAGATCCGAAATTCAATTTAAAATTATACTTATTCTGTCTGATTTCTGTATATATTGAATATAAATGTTTTACTATATAAAATACAATTACATTTTCCGCAATGCTTGTAAATTTCCTTTTCTTTATATCCTTATATTTATTATTTATTATTTATTATTTATTATTTATTATTTATTATTTATTATTTATTATTTATTATTTATTATTTATTATTTATTATTTATTATTTATTATTTATTATTTATTATTTATTATTTATTATTTATTATTTATTATTTATTATTTATTATTTATTATTTATTATTTATTATTTATTATTTATTATTTATTATTTATTATTTATTATTTATTATTTATTATTTATTATTTATTATTTATTATTTATTATTTATTATTTATTATTTATTATTTATTATTTATTATTCATTAATTAATATAAATTATGATTTATTTAACAATTGTGCTGCTATAGTTTTAAGGGTATTCACTGGTCGTCATCTCACACACTTCCGTTACTCATTTTAGTGTTTCGCCAGGTTCTCTGCGCAGCCGCCGCGTGGGCCGACGCCGCCGCCGCCGTCGCTGCTACTGCCAGCTGCCAGAAACAGCCACGACGCACAGTCTGGGGGCCTCCAGAGGCACAGCCCACGTTGATTCTGTGGTTGCTATAGCTGCTGTTGTTGTTGTTGCCGCCGCCTTATCATGTGGCATAAACTCTGAACTCGACACAGCTTGAACTTTCGACCGGTGTCATGGGAATGGGTAAGCCTAACCAGCAGAAGTGGACAAGGTGCCGCCAAGGCATAGCAAAAAAAAAAAAAAAAAAAAAAAAGGGGCAGCTGCAGCTGCTATGCAAATTCTGCGCAACCCTCGCCCAGCGGACGAGCCCTTGCCCCTGCCCCACTTGGCACATGGCGCAAATTATGAACAGTTGTATTAAGAGAGGCAACAAGTGTGGTCTGTCGCTGGCATTTCCCCCCACCATCTGCACCACACTTCCTCACCCATAGACCAAAAACAATTTACAAAATGTCATCCGACAATTGGCATGTCGCTTGTCATGCGCAAGCGCGGCAGATGCCACCGACAACTGTTCGTGCCACAAACAGTTGGGGTTGCAACTGGGCTACCTTTGTTTAGCAGTTGGCACGCCAATTGCCGCAAATTCCCAATAATGAGAGTCAACATAAGGTATGCCAAATAGAGCCCATGCATGCAACAGGCTAGAAAAGAGAACTTTGAAGAGTTTGTTCAAGTAGGAAATTAATAGCAAAATAATTAAGAGCACTCTGGGTCTGCTCGACTAAGAGATACCCTGAATAAAATTTGAAATTTAAATTGCTAAATATTATTCAGTGAATAATAATGAAAATAGTTTTAGGCTTTTCTTTTTGAATTTATGAAAGGCAAGAGTATTAAATATTTAATAGATCTGACAACAAATAATAAGGTGTAAAGCTATCTTAGAAAGTCTGCAACTTTTAAAACATTTCTTTTAAATTAATATTATGAGTAAGAAATTTATTTGCTTTAAATTTTGAAGAATTGTCCAAGTCATAATGAATTATTATCCTTTTAAATTAGTCTACCTTCAGGTTAAAATGCTTGTTCTTAAAAAATATTACACATATATTCAGTAAAGAAATATGCATGCTCGTAAGACCGTCTTACTTTTCCCTTACCAGATGTGTAGGCCTCTCATTTTCACTGTCTTCCGCCCATGCTCACGCCCACGTGTGAGTGGGTTGCCTTTGTGGCTTCAATGCATGAAATTCTATAATATTAGTATAAGCAATTCCTCTGCCAGGCTATATAATTCTGGTTAATTTCATGGATTTTAAGCAGATTCATTTGCGCGTCTATGTGAGAGAGAGAGTCGATTTGTAAGTCAATGTACTTGTACGTCCTCTCTCTCTCACACACACACACACACAACAATGCACTGTGAAATGCATTTAAATTGCAAAATTATGCAGCTACTGTAGTGGGGGAGGGCGAGCATTAGGGGCATTCCCCCCTTTGAGCTGCGCGCTACGCATGCGCTGAACTTTTTTGCTTTTAATTTTATTAGATTTATGCGAATCGCTGAGATAGTTGCGGTTCGTATTTGCGGTTTGCGCCAAATTGATTTGAATTTTCCGCTGCATTTGTTATTTTTGTTTTTTCTATTTTATTTTGGTTCAATGAATGAATTGTAATGGGCTGCCGGTTTGCCCCCACAGTGTGTGTGTGTGCGTGTGTGTGTGTATGTGAGTGGTGCAGACATCATGTGGTTCATGTGGGCGTTTTATTTCAGTTAAATTGGCAAACCGCGGCCTGCGGTCGCTGTGAATTGCATGTAGGAGTTGTGTGTGAATATGTGTGTGCTAGGTACGTATGTGTGTGCGTGTGTCTGTATGTGGTGTGTGTTGCCTGTTGGCACCGGCACTTGTTTTCCTTTATGTAATTTCTTTGCAAATTACTTTGAATACACAAGTCTTTCTTAGCTCAACAGCAACCGCGGCAGCTTTGGGGCCTAATTCAATTTGCGGTTTATCTTCACGGCCTTAAATTGAGAATTTAACTGCCCAGCAGAGTGC